AAGCATAAAATAAAATGGGCAACATGCAGTAATATGTAAAGCAAAATATAAATGCGCATCAGGAAACAGATGGAAGGAAGTGAGAGGTTTTGAACGGATATTGAGAAATGTAAAAAGACACACACACACAAAAAATGTGCTAATTCTTCTAAATTGACCACAGCGGATTAGAGCTGCAGGCGCTCAGCGTTGGCCTTACTCATACTGTGCTAATCTCTGGCACACACACTGCACTGCATGACTGAGAGCAAAAAAACAGGCAAAAACAGGTATGTGTGCATGTTAGACACAGTATATGTACAGTATGTGTGATTTGTGTGTACAGATATGAACACATGCAGAACTAGATTATAACAACCGGTTTAATGGGAAAATGAGTTCTAATGTACACTAGGTGAAGAAAAACACGTACAGTTTAAACACTCGGACTAAATTTAGCATCAGACACTGTTTCAGAGGGACAACAAATGTCATTATTTTTATTCTTATGTTGCAGTATTTTAAGAAGGAAGGAAGGAAAAAAGGATGAGTGAAAAAATAAAGCAAAGTAGAAAAGAGTGAGCTGGGATTTCTGAGGAAAATTCTTTTTTTTTTTTTGAAAAGGAAAATCTAGTGATAATTCTGCTTAAATGCTTTGTCATAAAGATGATGCAAGGTAATCTCCTTGAAAGTTTGCATGTCTGATATACAAGATTTACTTAAAAACAACTAAAAATAAAAAAATTCTCCCAGTAAGATAACACACTGTGAAAAATGAAAGTTTTTAAGAAGTACTATATCCATCCATTATCTACACACCGCTTAATCCTCACTGGGGTTGCAGTGGAGCTGGAGCCTATCCCAGCTGACTCAGGGTGAAGGCAGGGAACACCCTGGACAGGTCACCAGTCTATCACAGGGCTACACTTAGAGACAGACAACCAAGCACACTCACATTCACACCTACGGACAATTTAGAATCACCAATTAACCTCAACATGTTTTTGGACTGTGGGAGGAAGCCAGAGAACCCGGAGAGAACCCACGCTGCACGGGAAGAACATGCAAACTCCACACAGAAAGATCCTGGTGTCCTCACTGGGACACGAACCGGCGACCTTCTTGCTGCGAGACAATGGTGCTAACCACCGAGCCACCTTGCAGCCCAGAAGTACTATATGTGGTTTTTTGAAAAACAAAACAAAACAAAAAACAACAACAATGTTCTATTATTCTACAGATTTTTTGTGTTTTGTTAAATCACAGATAATGCAGTAAAGTCATAGAATTTACATGTTAACCTTAAAACAACAAGCAAACATTCTAAATAATGTCAGCATCAAACTTCCATATTTTTAAAATTAACATTTGCTTTTTTATGATGTTTAACTGCATTAGAATTACATGTTTTTTTTTACTGTATTAGATCAGAAAAAAAACATTTTGCAGATATTTGCCATTATTTGAAAAAAAAAATTTTTTATCGAAAAATGGTACATACATTTGTCACTGTTATTTTACAGATTTTCTCTGTTTTGTCAAATTACGCATAATATTTAGTAAAATCAAAAAGGGAATTACTTTAAATTTTAACTTAAAAAAAAACATCCTAAAACTGTACGTAATGTTCCTAAACAGCAATATGTTCTTTCACAATGTATGAGCATAAAGGTTTTAGTTTTACTGTATTTGAATAAGCTAAAAATGTCAATATTTTACAGACATTTGCTGTTATTTTCACAACACAGTTTAATTTTTTTTTTTTTAATGTTACAGTATTCCATCGTTTCTGAAGGTTTTGGGGTTTTTTTTGTTTGTTTGTTTGTTTGTTTTTTGTGAGATGGGGAGGGACTCCTCCATCTCACATTTGATTGGTTGGCTGAAAAGGAGCAACAGTTGATTAGACATGTAGTTTTGATATGTCACAAACGAATGTAATCCACGAGAAAATATGTTTCCCTCAAAGCATAACTGAAAATCCAGTTTAGTTAGTGGAACGTCATTTTTTGGAGACTGCGCTCTTATGTCATGTCAAAGCCCCCAGAGGTGATATTAGAAAGACCCTTCTCCTTGTTTGATTCCATCTGGTGGATTTATACATATAAACCTTTATTTATATAATATTTATTCATCAGGTAATCTTACTGACAAAGATCAAAACCCGGCATGACAAAAAGCACAAACATCACTGAGGAGATTTGAAGTGAAACGTTTACAATCGGCCAGTGGGATGAGATACACAACTTCAGTAATCCTTTGTAATTCATTCCAGTTATAGTGTGCAAAGGCAGCATTTAGTCAGAGTACAAACAGGCCTGAGATCTGATCTGGTGGCTTTAAATTTTAGGAGAGAAATGATCTAGTGAGGCAGCTTTTGCAGGAGACTGTTGTTGTGGCTGGTAAAGACCAACCTTTAGTTTTTTGGGGGGTTTTTTGTACATAGTTTTATGAATACTATTTCCAATAAAATCTAGTGTAATAGCAAAAGTTTGAAAGACAACAACAACAACAACAAGACTAATAACAATAATGATGATGATGATGATGATGGGTTACAATGTGGTTAGGTGGTTAGCACTTGTTGCCTCGCACCTAGAAGATTCCCAGTTTAGGACACCTGGGACATCTGGAATCTTTCTGCGTGGAGTTTGCATGTTCTCCCCGTGCAGCACGGGTTCTCTCCAGGTTCTTCCGTTTCCTCCTACTGTCCAAAAACATGTTGAGGTTAATTGGTGATTCTAAATTGTCCGTAGGTGTGAATGTGAGTGTGCTTGGTTGTCTGTCTCTAAGCGTAGCCCTGCAATAGACTGGCGACCCTATTGTTACTATATGGTACCTTTTTTCAAAGTAAATCAGCACAACAACACCAGATAATTATAATTATTACAAAAGCACCAAAAATGGAAGAAATAAGGAAAAACAGCAAGTGAGAATCCAGGTAAAAACAAGGAGGAAAAGATAATATTAAAATAAAAAGAAGTACTTATACATATAAAATGTATTTTGCGTGGCCCAATAATCAGTATATCATATAAAAACAATAATGCTAGAGGTGAAATCCTAAACACAGTCAATATTTGTACATATATATATAATTATATATCATCTTGTTAAGTTTGAGGCTGATTCAAACACTTTTATTTCACCAGAATTACACACCAGTCACCAGACGTTTACCCTCTGAACATTTAAACCCACCAGCAGGTTTCTAACACACGTTATCTATTTATAAAAATGATCAAATTACACAATTCATTTGAACCAGAAACTGTTAAAAACAAAAAAAGCAAGAATCATTAGATTTTCATCTTTCTGACAGTCCTTAAACTGCTTATCTGTATTTCTGCTTTAAAACTTCCTTTCAAACTAAAATCCTGTTAATTCATCAAAGTCCCTTTATTCTACAAGTCTCATTTAACAAGCTGTCAAAAATAAATCATTTGCTAAAATCAGATTCTTTAAAATAAATAAATAAATACAATTCTGCCCTTCTCAATACAACTGTAAAGTGACTCAGCTGAAACCAACAGTTGCATAACAACATTTCAGGGATTTTTTTTTTTTTTTTTTTGTGAACTGAGCTGAACTGGACACTGTGTTGATCAGAGCGAGGCAAGAATGTTAAAAATTAGAAAAATAACAGTAAAATAGCTATCGTATTTGCTGTCACCATTATTCCACCATAGATAACATCTCAAAAATGTCATATATGTATATGTTCCCTTGGAGGGATAGGACTTTATATTGCAGTAAAGAAATGAGTCTTACAGGGTGTAAAAATGTGACAGGAGTAAAAAAAAAATGATTAAAAACAGGAAAACTAGGTGGATCAGGGGGATATTGTAAATTTATGCTACGTACCTGAATTCTGATTAAAGATTGAGATTAATTAACGAATTCAGAGTTTAGTTTTTAGATACTATTTTATTTTGAAATGCTGTCTTGCTTGGAAATTTGAACTTATGACACTATTATCCAAAAGAGATCAGCCTTTTGTTTTCAATCATTTTTTATTTCTGATGTGTCCCTGCTCTGTTTACCGTTTTCTATTTATTTTTTCTTATCTTTCACAAGTGCTTTCTTGAGGTTTCACTCTGCTCTAGCCTTCGTTTTCCACTTTTGTCTGTCCCACTGTGTCTTCACTTCTTTGTAGCATAAAAAGAACATAAATATTCCTCCTCTGTTTCTTCCACTTCAAGCCTTTATACTCCCATGGCTTGTCAACATCTCTCTCTAATCTGAAATGCCAGGGATTAAACAGGCAGCCAACTCTCCATCCATAATTCTACCATCCCCTCCCCCTTTCTCTCTCTCTCTCCCCCCCTTTCTCTCATTCTCACCCCCACACACACACATAAACACCCAGTTTTTTGGCAGACTAGTCATTTTGAGACCATAAGCGCGATGTTTCAGAGGCAGCGAGGGGAAGGTGGGCGGGATGGATTAGATTAAGTTGGTCCAAATTCAAGGGATCACTTGTGGCGAGACAGGGGTGACAGATAAACTGGGGGGGAAAAAAAAAAAATTAGAGTGTGTGTGTGGTGTGAGGCAGAGCGAGAGATGGAAAAAGGGGGAAGAGAGAAAGCGATCGAGTCATGCAATCAGAGCCAGAGTCTGGTGGCAGCAGGTTGTTTCAGCCCAGATATGACCCAGCCCCGTCAATCTCCCATCACCCTGCCGCCGTTTCCCATAATATCACACTAAACATCTCAAAGCTCATCATGGCAGCTGCCGGCGACCTATATGAGGTTAATGTGGCACCGTATACCTAACTTACCTCCCCGTGGACCAATAGGATCTGGGATTGTAGCACGTGCGCTAAGAGAGGAGTCGCTTTTTGTAGTGGTGGTGCAAGCGGACACATTCGCCTTCGCCTCGCTGGGTGTTGATGCACTGGATCTAGTATGGATTTTGGACTTTTATGTGGCGTTTGAACGAAGAAAGTGGGGAAAAGAGAAGAAACCTGGGACAAAGCAGGAGGAAAGGGAGGGTGGGGGAGACAGGAACAAGAGGGCAGGGTGATGGGAAACATCAACAAGGCTTCTAAAAAGAACAGTAAAAGGAAAAAGGTAAGGAGGCATTTAATGGCTCTTAGGTGAGGAATTCAAAGTTACTTCTTGAGCTGTAACCATGCTGTCGCTCTACATGACAGGCATTCAGATTTGTGCAAAAGTGCAAGAATGTGTGCATCAGTCAGTTTTGTTTCATAATCCGGTTGGTTCCTGTCCTCTAAGGGGCCCATAGAGGGAAGCGGCGCCCCGTTGGCCGCCGCCATGCTGGGGGGCCTGGGTGGTGCAGAGGAGGTGGACACGGAGGACGAGGAGGAAGGAGGCAGCGAGCGCGAGTTCGACGAGCCCCTGTGCGCTCTGGTTAAGAACTGCAACATGCTGCACAACATAGTGGGGCCCGCTTGTATCTTCCTCAGACAGGGCTTCGCACAGAGCCAGCTTGTATGTATTCACACGCACAAATACACAGTAGAGCCACAGGTGATGTTGCAAAAGCTTCTCCTAAATCTCGTCATCCGTCCATTTTTGTGGTGGCCCCGATGTGTGCAAAGGAAGATCATCTCAGCCCCTCCCATCTCCACCAATGACCACGACAACCTTTCAACCTTTCAGCAAACCTACATACCTCCATTTCACATGTGCGCGACTGGATTAGAACATTTGTGTTTGCACAGAGGGGAGAAAAAAACACCAACAATACAGCATTTCTAGAATCACCACTCACCCGTACACTGTGTCCTGTAGGAGTCCTGAGCTGCAAAAAGAGATTAAGTGGCCTCGCAATGTGTCCAGATTGTAATTTAGGTCATAAATTCAACCTTCTAACAGTGCTATACATATCATGTGCAGCTCTTTTTTCAAATAGATGTCATGCTTACAGAAGGCAATTACAGTCATTTCCTCACGGTGCGGCTAATTGAAAAGAGCCATTAGAGCAGTGATGTAGTCAGCGAGGCTACTGAGGTGGTGGATGACCTTTAACTGAGTGTGGAGGATAAACCTAAGAATTTTGGATAATATGAATGAATTTTGAATGTGCACTACATTCTTTTATTTTGTAGCTGTAGCCTTAGCGTGCTCTTGGGGTGTACGTTGAAGCAACACTATTTTTGCATGCAGCCTTGGAGCGTTAATGTCTGTTCAAGCGACCCACTGTTTGACACACAGAGTTTAAATTTGCATGTATAAGACTTTAATGGCGTCTCAGAGGGTCACCCTTGGAACAGGGGAACACTGGAACCAACTTTATAAAGAAACATTCATTTTAAAGCAGCTATAATCAGCTATGTGTACCAGGAAAGGGGTTTCAAACAGATGGAGAAGTATATTTTTTTCTCTGCAATCTGACTGTGGTGGAACATAGTTGAGTATATTTACTCACTGTCACTACTCTTCTACATTTTGGAGGGAAATATTATACTTTCTACTGCAGTACATGTATGTGATAGCTTTTTTTTTTTTTTAAGATGAGGATTCTACACAGTAGATCATAATACAAGCTGTTCCAAGACAACACATAGTCACAAATTAAATCAATTTTTTAATCTTTTTGGCCTTTAAAAAGAAGCAACGTGGAGTCGACTCACATTTTAGATGTTTGTGAGTTGTTAACAGCTCCACCAAACAGTGACTTTTCCCTCTAAACTTCTCACAGCATCCAAAAGTTATGCAAAAATTCGAAAATTAAGGAGAAATCCCCAGAAAACTGAACACTCATTTTTCTATCGGAGCATTATTTTTTTCTTCTTCTCTCTTCTCCCATTAGTTATGTTTGGAGCCCTCACATTCATTTTGCTTTCCTTTGCTTTCCCTGTATACAAAACTGTATATAAAGTAGTTGAAAGTAGCTCCACCTGCAGCAGCTGTAACAGAAACACGCTGTCGACACACTGATGCTTCATTATTAATAATCTAATGATGTCCGACGGATCAAACGAGCACTTTTACTTTCATATTTAAACTACATTTTGCTGCTAAAAATGTCATTAAGTAGGGTTTTTATGCAGCACGGTATTTTGCAAGGATCTGAAAATACTTCTACCATCACTACGTTCCAGTATACTTAAATGTATGACCAAATACCTGCAAAAATGGAATTCTCATGTACTTCAACTGCGCATTGTGTTTAGTGCAAATGCTAGCATGCCTCTATAATGTTCCAGGTTACTCAAATCAGCATGCTGGGAGCATATGAGCAATGTTATATTTTAGCTCAGTGAACTGTGTGACTTTATTTACTGGTGCTAAAGTTTTCTTACAAGAATCCAGTAATCCAGCAGCATGCCTTCTGAGTTACCACAGCCCTCGAATTGTAGAATGAGTTTCTGATTTCACTTAAAGTCACTGAAAGAAAGAAGTGAGAGAGTTCACAGATTAGTCTATGAGGTAGACAGGGTGAGACTGACAGCTTTTACTGTTCTTTCATTCGCTTGGAATTCATTTTGTTTCCAAAACTGCAAAATAAGAATGTGTTAAATGTGTTTAAAGTGTTAAATATATATGTTTTAGTTTGCATCTTAACCATTTTTTTTTGTCTGGTCTATTTGCATCCAACTTTTGCCGCATGATAGAATTACTGGGCTCCTTTCAGTTGTGTTCTGAAGTGATCAGTGCTTATTGTAGTTTGGGAATAAAAGCAAACAGAACAACACTGGAACAAGAAAAAGAATAGTCACTTCTCCGTCTCTGTGCCTGAACAAAAACAAAAAGTGGCACATGTGTTTGTTCAGGCCTGTGTAGGTGCGTTAATGTTCGTTCAATCACAAAAAGCGGCCGGACTGCAGATGCAAATGCAGATGAAAAAATAAATAAATAAAAAAATCAGCTGCAGATAGGGAAATGAAAAACCGATAAGCCTTTGTGATTTGTAATACAATTTACTGCTGTAATCTCCCTGCCACTGTTCTCTCCCCTGCATCCTCTAATCCAGGACTGTATTATTCCTGCTGCTGATGTCAGAGACTCGCAGAACACGCCGTGAACAAACTTACCCCGGCGTCACCTCTTAGCCACGCCAACACTCTCTGCAGCTAATTCAGCATCGACTGTAGACTGTGGGGTTTTTATGTGTGCTTTTCTCAGACATTTTGATCCCTAATTCGCAGTGGGTTTCTTTGGTTTCTCAGAATTTTATCAACATACATAAGCCTTGTTGCCTGTGCAAGGAAGAGGCCAAAGAGACTGCATCTTCCTTTTTTTTTTTCTTCTCACTTCTCGCTGTGGAACATATGCACGGCAGACTTTCTCCACCAGCAGGGGCAGGATGAGATTGGACACGAGATTGTGAAGCAGATTGACTCTAAAGGTTATGGGTCAATCAGATCAAAAACCAAATAATCCTGTAATAGAATCTCTGTTCAAGCGGATGAACATGGAACACACAAAAAAAATAAAAGCTTCACAGGGCTGAGAGGAGTAGAAGCCAAAATGTTCACAGCATTTTTGTCATCGTGACTGAAATAGTAGGAGATGCACAGAGTGAAAGTGTAACCTGACTCACTGTTCATTTCTCTTCATGTCTGCCCTGTCTTTTCTGCACACCACCACAGGACAGAGATCTCCGACCAGAGGAAATGGAAGGTACGGAGATATCAAAAGCTTAATCCAAATCCTCCCTCAGTTATCCTTCGTCTTCCTTTCAAACCTGCTGCTCCACTGTGACAATTTGTGCCTTCTTGTACGGCACAACATTTAAAGGCATTTAAGAATTTTCTGACTTTGCTTGCTTTTCTTTTGTACTTGAATTGTGCAAGATCAAAGTGAGGGATTATTTTTCAAAGGAAAAGATTATTCGTCACAGTTCAAGCACAGTTCAACTCTTCCGTCCTTCCCATTCGTCATTTCTGACTCACACTTTATCACACTTCGCTGGGATGCAATTTGTAATTTATAAATGGAATAAACAGTCAAACAGGGTGTTACTTAATGCATTTAGTAAGATGAAAGAAAGAAATGTATTGGAAACACTCTAAAGCTGGTATGTTGATTGACTTGTTTAGAGATAAAATTTGAACTCTGATCACCACTTTAAAATGGCATCAATTGTACAAAACAGGGGTTAAAATTAAAGTCATTTTTCATATGTTTCTGTCATAAATTGTCCACCAGTTCTTTATAGATTAACTACAAGACATTATAGATTAAATATAAGACATTAATTATAGTAAATTTGATGTTGCCACATTGGAAAATATTCATATTAGCAGGTGCTTCTTCTCCCTATTTAGCCTGTAATAAGTCATTGTAAGTATTGGAATACTCCGCCAATTTAGCATTGCTCTCTTATAACATTGTCAGACTCAAGAAAAAGGATAAAAACTCGTGTTTTTGTGAAGATTTATTTAATAGCTGCTAATGTAGCCTGGAACCTCAAGCCTAAGCAGAGACGTGGAGCTTGTTAAGTTTGGTAAGATTACTTCCTGTCCAGATATTTCTCATACATGTAGTTGACACAAAGCTGGTGGACATTCTTCACTCAAAAGCCTCATTATACACTCATATATGTAAAAACTCCTCCCAAAGCCTGTGAAAAGACTTTAATTAATAACATCTTCTTTTGCTGATTTATTCAAAAATTGGAGTCCATATAATGAATAGAAACTTATCATCTCTTTAAAAAGTTTGCTTTATTTTCTTTGGCTTTATTTTCTTTACCTTCATTACTTTCCTTACTGTAATTGCCTATTATACTTTTTCATAATGCCATTGTAGGCAAATGTAAGATAATTTAGGAATAATTATTTAGGAGGATTTGAATAGTTTCCTAGTAGTATTCATAAAAGACTATGACAGAACTCCACTCCCGTTTCAACAAACACCCCTGGGTCCCGTTTAAGGCCACTAACATCAACATTACCAAGACCAGTGTTACTCAGCTTAGTGTAATTGGGCCAAATGGGGCCCACACGCACATAAATGGATTCACACTAGGATTTTTTTGTTGGTTTACTGTTCAAACATGTTCCTTGGCTGGTACTCAGTCAATTTAGTAATACATAATTTTAGAGAAAAATGAGTTATTGGCCTTAAAATGTTTGCTCAATTTACTTGATAAATGATTAATAAGTTATTGTTTATTAAGTGACCCCTGACCTCCTGGCATTTTGCAAAAGTGGGCCTTTGGGAAAAGCAAGCTGAGTGTCTTATTTTCCTACCAAAACTGTCCATTATCACACAGAACCTTTACAAATCTACACTTTTATAAAACAGAAACAAATCAGTTTCGTGCATCATTTTCTCTTTTCCTCACACATGTGTTTACTGCTTGCAGAACTGCGTGAGGCCTTCAGGGAGTTTGACAAAGACAAGGACGGCTTCATCAGCTGTAAGGACCTGGGCGAGTGCATGAGGACGATGGGATACATGCCGACAGAGATGGAACTCATAGAGCTCAGCCAGCAGATCTGTGAGTCCTGCACAGACAAAATAATGTCTATAAATTCCTGGTTGCCATGTAAAATACTGTATCATCGATATATTAGGGAGCCTTAAAATGTGGAACGTAGCGTTACATGTAATATTTTCTTTTACGTTTTGCATAACATCACATTTGTCTAGTGAAAGAAAAGGGTTGTGCCTTACTTGCATAATACTTTGTTCATGTCTGGTTAATGATTTGCACGTCTTTTTTCCACCGTGCACGCTTACTTTCACGGCCTCCAGGTGGTGGCAGAGTGGACTTTGAGGACTTTGTGGAACTGATGGGCCCTAAAATGCTCGCTGAGACTGCAGACATGATTGGAGTGAAGGAGTTAAGGGACGCCTTCAGAGAGGTCAGGAATATAGCAGTGCTTTTCCTTTTTAGCCAAATATACCACCCATATAACTGCGTCTAGGGTACCCTACACATATTAGCTCCAATTCATTTCTCTTTTGTACTTTTTAAACAATTTTTTTCATCCCATCCATTCTGCTCCTCAGTTTGACTCCGATGGTGATGGTCAGATCAGCCTCGGGGAGCTGAGGGAAGCCATGAAGAAGCTAATGGGGGAGCAGCTCAACCACCGCGAGATCGATGAGATCTTGCGAGACGTGGACCTTAATGGAGACGGACAGGTGGACTTTGAAGGTGAGTGAATAGTGCTTTCTTTAAGAAAGAAAGCTGAGGGAAAAAGACAGAGGAAATAGAGACAAAAAAAAGAAACAGATAAACTTGTCTCCACAGATAAGCATCCAAAAATTGCTTTCAGATAGAATTAGAAGATGATTTCATTACAAAAGTCAACAAAATAACCACCTGTTCTCTCTTACTACAGAGTTTGTGCGAATGATGTCTCGCTGACTCTTCAGCAAACCTCACTCTGCTGCACTAAACACATGAACCGGACTGAGCACTGTTAATGTTCTTTATTTCTGATGTACAAAGACTTCTCGGTGTCTGTAATTTTTCACTTACCTCCATCAACTCTTAAGTATAAGAGAATCCTTTCAATGTGTTTCTGTTGTATGGATGTTGTATGTATTATGTGTGTAATGAGATCATAGAGTGATGACCCAGTAAGGAGAGGGCTCAACCAAAGCTGTGGTCTACTCAGAAGTGAATTCGAATTTGAAGATACAGATGGGTGACAAATTGAACACCTATGTGAGAATCTGGACTGATGTGTTCGTCAGTGTTAGTCCACTACCATCATCGAAACACCAAATGAAGGAATATAGTTTGGAAAAATGGTTCTCTAGCCCTCCAGTACAGTTCCAGAAAAAATCAATGCAAAGGTGTGGTCACCAAACATCTTACTAAGACACTACATGTTATTTATTTTTCTTTATTTGCCACCCATCTGTATGTATACATATGCAAGAGATTTACATTTAAAAACCTAATAAAGTAAAATCCAAGCGGCACTGGCAAGATACTTCATACGTCAAATAAAATGTAGTTTATTTGTTGGTTGTTTTCATAATTTGGGTAAACCAACCTATTAAATATGCAGTTTGCAGTTTGTATTTTGAGGTACCATAGATGCAACAATAATATAAATATGAAAATTTAATGTCATAATTTAAATAATAATGCCATATCTAAAACCCTCAATTTAACTTGAATATACCTGTTGACTGGGACTGTGTATTACTCTAATACAGATAGACAAAGTGAGTGCTTTGTTAATAGAACAAGTACATAAAATTATTTATATAAGCATCTTTATTGTAGAAACATGCATTCATGACACATGCATTACTCTGAGTATTATCTTCAGCTGTGCACTTTGATATCATTTAACTGATGCAAGCACATCAAATTCTTGCTGATACTGTAATTTTTAATATCTTTTTGATACCTATTTGATAGAAGATGATTTTGGTGTCTGCTGCATATCTGTACACATCAAGTTTTTGTCCACACACCTTTTTTTTCCTCCTGTTGGTGAAATTTAACTGACGACCTGTCTCAAAGTTTACTTAATGCAAGCATATACAGCTTTCCTGTTTAATGTTTTATTTGTACAGTGTTTGACAGGTCAAAAAAGACATTGTAAATAATAAAAACGGAAGAATAAGAATGACAATGTACTGGTTTTTATTGATCAAACACCTTGTCCATGTCCCTTTTTCAAGCATTTTCCTCCGTTAAGGCTTCATTTCTCATAGAGCCTTCCAGAAGCGGTCTACCCTCTTGATAAAATCCATCATATCACCTCTTTTTGGACACTTTTTGAGGTCCTTTATCAGTTGTTTTTTCAATGTCAGTGCATACTCACTGTAGCCAACACTGACAGGAGCCATCGGAGGCTTCCCCTGCCAAAATGGAGGAATATTCCAGTTAGAAGTGTTTATGTTGAACTGCATCACGTCTGAGAGCTCAGTGATGTTGGCCTTCTTCATTTCATCGTCGTTCTGGATCTTTTCTTCGAGTTCTTCCACCAACTTTTTATTTCTCTCCCTCGTCTCTGCAGCAGACATGTCAGGCGTGTTGAAATGTACAAAATGGCACAGTGGCTTCTTGCCCACATCCTTTAGCCTTGTGAAAGCATGAAGCACCAACTCCAAGACGTCGTCCCCTCTAGAGTTGGAAACACTCACGATTGCGATGTCGCTGAGTGCCACAGCAAGACTCGCTACTTCCTTGTCTCGTTCGTGGCTGTGATCACCTCGAGGCATCTGGTGTGGCTTCAGTCCCTCGGTGTCAATGATCAGGATGCAGTCACAGCCCAGCTCGTCCCTGACTCTGCTGTTGACGCTGATCAGCTGCATGAACGCCCCTCTGGTGCACATCCCCTTGCTGACAGCAAACCTGAGCCCAAACATGGTGTTGAGCAGAGTCGATTTCCCCGAGTTTTCTGCTCCGATGATCGTTATGACCTTGAGCTTGCTTTTGGAATACAGAATGTGGTGGAGTTCAGTAAGCACATCAGTGATCCATTTCAATGGGATGTTTGCTGCATCTCCGTCAACAAGCTCCAGAGGGAAACCGTCCAGCAGCATGTGGGCGCACGTTGCAGGGAGTTGTTCCATGGTTTTTCTCTGGCTCGAGTGTTCTGGCAGGTGACTTGCAAGTTTGTACAGCTGCCCACACTCTCGAAGGAAGTGCTCCACTCGTAAGGAACAAACTGAAATTTGCTTGTCAATCTCTGCAATTTTTTGAGTGTCTTTTGGAGATTTCTCACTCAGCTCTTGGTATCGGTTCTCCAGAGGTGACAGCTGGTGCCGGCACACATAGTCCAATTTTATTTCCAACCATTTGAGGAAATAGAGGCGTTGCACCTCTGAGGTAACCAGCCCACGAGTGAAGCCTAACATCCCAGCTGGCATCCCCATGATTTGCTGCTTAATTCTGAGGTCGTCTTCTTTTGCTTTCAAAGACTTCCGGTAATTTTCAGGGCTCTGTTTGCCAACTTTACGCAGCCTCCAGTGCTCACTTTCCAACCACGAGAGTGCTTGGGAAGACAGGTGTTTGTCTTTGAACTCTGCGGTGTTTTTGACATGTTGAAGGATTTTACTGACATTATTACAAGCGCTCTCGTATTTGTCGTTGTCATCATCAACCAGGATCTCACAGCAGTGAGCTCTCTCAGCCATGCTTGCCAATGACATTTGGTTTGGGTTGCTCTCAAGCAACAAAGAGAGGGATTCCTGCAGGACCTTTACCAGCTCTGTATCAGTCTTTTTTGCCTCACTGACGTCAGTTATCTTCAAGCTTGGTTTCATCGTCACCGTTTTGAGTGTGAAGTGTTTTCCCTGTCTGCTGCTAATCAAAAAGACCTTTGCTGTCACCTGTTTTTTATGCAGATTCTTGATGTAATCTGCTTCTGATTCATCGCAGAAGATGTACACAGCTGCAGATGTCTCACAGAGGAATGAGAACTGCTTGTCAAAGGTCCTGATGTCTCCTCTGAGGTTGGTAACTGCCAGCGGTTCAGTGAATTTGTCTACGTTTCTGTCTCCACAAGGGAGGTACCAGCTGATTTCGACTAGCCCATCTGAAATTCTCCTGGGGACGTCACCAGACACCATGTTGCTGTGATAAAATGTGTCGTGGTAGTGCTGAGCGTTACTTAGAAGTTTGTTCAACATTTGAGACTTGGACAAGAACCTCTTTCCCAGCCTGACAAATGATACCAGGGGAATATCAGAGAACACAAGTCTTTCTTTACAGATCTGCTTTAGGAATGCCTGCTGGGAGGGTCTGAAGGTTCGAACGATGTCGGACATAGACCACAGCATCATTGTGATTTCTCCGCTGTTACAGTTGGGCAGCAGGAGCGGGACAGCAAACTGGCAGAGGGCCATTTTTAGAACTATGTGCTGGTGAAGAATCACATCTGAACAGAGAAACAGGGCCGTTATCAGGTCCAAGGGATTGACGGCGTTGCTTTTGTCCGTGTCCACATTGCGGGACGCACATCTGACACTTCTCGCGTTTGTGTTCAGCATCATTAGTCTCCTCAAAAAGGCCTCAGGAAGCGACTCTGGAGTCTCCAGTTTGTTCTCAGATATGTCATTCTGATTGATCTCCATTACGGTGCGGAGTGTGAGCTTGTTGTCATACTGGTCTTCAAGTCCAAGAACTGGCAGCACCTCCCCGAGAGTTGGCTCTGTAAATCAAAAAGAAGAAAGCACTGAGTGAAGAGGAGGTTATATCTTCTACTTTGTCAGGGCATTTGTACTGGTGAGGAGCCATTTATTCATCATGGAGAGGCCTAACCTGTGATTTAATAATATAATTTGTGGCTCTGAAGTGTGAGGCATGAAAATAACTCCTGAGAACATTGTCGAGCTATTTTGTCTCTGTCTCAAATGTTACAAATGTATAGATTAGGAATTCAGCAGGGTTTGGGATTGTCTGACCTTGAGGCTCGTTTAAAACAACAGCCATTGACTCAAAATGCTTTCCAACAGAGAAATAAGAATAATGTTCCAAATCTACCTGTGAAATTTAAATATTGTTAAGACTCTGCAATAATAGAGGGTGAAATCAAAAGTAGGCATGTCCAAATAAACTTTTTTTTAACCCTGATCCATCAGTCTGTTGGCGCTAAAACAAAAAAATTCTCAGTTTGGTTCTACTGCAACTAACCAGGAGCTCAGAGATATTTTTTTATGAACGTTGATGGTTTCTACAAGATGCATGTTAAAGCTTTTTGGGATCCCTGACTTTTCACCTATTGTTGGTTGACACTGATGATTGAAGGGGAAGTGGTGTAAGTCAAATTAAAACTGAAACTTGGAATTTATTTCAGAGTAATTCAATATCATTTTGTTTCAAAATGAAAATGCTAAAATGCAGATCACAAAGAAGAAAAGCATGTGCAGCTGTTCAAAACTGGACTATTTCTTTATATATTTAGAATACATAGTGTTTTAATTTAACATGTTTATCAAAAAATGCACGTTTGGTGTTTTTGCCACTATTTTAACTTGCCTGTAACTACAGTGCATGCAAAGTTTAAAAAGACACACATCTGATGTCTCACCTGTGTGTACAGAGATAGAAACTGCTTCACTGTGTCTATCGTTCAGCACTGTACAGACAGAGATTTTGTACTCTGTGTCCGACTCTAAATCAGAGAATTTCTTGTTGCAGTCTCCAGTGTATATCACTTGGGGCTCTTTTCCTTCACTTGTGACTGTAAGAAGGAATCGATGTGGAATTTCCTCCATGTTAACTCCTTTGGTCCATTCCACGGACAGAGCTGTGGCCTCTATGTGCATTTTGCTTACACGTCGAGGGGGCGGCACCGCTAAACGAGAGCAAAGTTGTATTCAATCAGTAAAATGTGAACAATGAAAAGGAGCAACTAATCTCTGAACATCTTAAATTTTACCTGTGAAAGTGGATTTTGTGACCGCTTTACTCAAACTGCCATCCTCGTCCTGTGTTGCCACGCTGAAGTAATACAGTTGTCCAAGTTGGAGGCTGTCGACTTCAATTTTATTAAAATCTCTGATGACAAGGCAGCCCTCTTCCTTCTTTGTAGAGCTCCACTTAACCCTGAAGCTCCTTGGTGCCTCTGGCTCCTCAGGGCTTTCCCAGCTCAGGATCACAGAGTTTGGCTTCACCGACAGAAACTTGATTTTTCCAGGAGGGGGCACCACTGGCACACAGAACACAAAGCTAGAAATCATTTGTTGCACTTGTACACTCATTTACCTAATATTAAAACATGAGCATGTAGTGAAGCTCATTCTGTCGTTTCTCCTCTAACCAAGAAATCAGCTCTGTTTAATTTTTTCATTTTTAATGGCAATAATTTCATCCATCCATTATCTATACACCGCTTAATCCTCACTAGGGTTGCGGGGGGGCTGGAGTCTATCCCAGCTGACT